GCCGAGTGACTGGCGGCGCTCTGGAGGACTGGGGGCGACGCCTGCTCTGCCCTCTGACTAGCCTGCACGTGCTGGTCACCGAGTGGTGAGCAGGTTCTGTACCACGCACCCACGGTAACTGTTCGACATTTTCATAGCCCCAGGCTATGTAATGTTTAAAAGAGCATTGAATTGGCGCAGTCCCTTTTCGTGGAATCACTGCTCCTTTTTGCATGCGTTGTTAAGTAGGTGGAATCTGAGCGTTGACTGCCTTGTTTAGTTTGTTATTCTGAACATGCGTGGAATGGCAGATCGTCAAAACAAGTGGAGTTTTTGGTTGTGTGCATGGATGTGCGCGGAAAATGCGCAAACAACAGTATGTGCGGGAATGTTTGGTTTTGTGCGGCAAATGACTTACAACTGTCACTTACAATGTGTATATGTATCTGTGCACTGTTCCTTCCCCACAGGTAACTGCTGCCGCTATTTGATCGTGATGTGTAGCTGCCCCTTACTTTGTAGCCTTTTGCTTTATGCCTTTGTAAGCGATGACGATGATCCTGAAAAGCCATGCTGCATGGATGGTGCGGTTGCAATGCGTGGAGATCGGGCTGCTGGGTGTAGAGGAGCGGGGAGAGTGGTGGACCGCTCAGGCAAGCTGGGTGAAGTGGGTGTGCGTGTGTGCGTTGTAGGCGACTTTTGTTTCTAGTTTTCGTCGTGCGTTTCAAAGGTGATTTTCGTTTTAGTTGTGGTACGTTTTCCTTGATTAAGAGTCGCGTGATGAAGTCGGCAGTCGCCAGCGTAAGTCGCCAGCGCGAGTAAGTCGCCGGCGTGGGTAAGTCGCCAGCTTGTGGGTAAGTCGCCAGCGTGGGTAAGTCGCCAGCGCGAGTAAGTCGCCAGCGTGGGTAAGTCGCCAAGCGAGAGTAAGTCGCCAGGCGTGGGTAAAGTCGCCAGCGTGGGTAAGTCGCCAGCGTGGGTAAGTCGCCAGCTTGTGGGTAAGTCGCCAGCGTGTTGAAGTCGAAGATTGTCGTTCTCGCCCCGCACCCCTAGGTTGTCTTTTAATAGCGCTCTGTTCTTTGCTCCGAGTCATCGGTTACCACGGCAGCGCCGCCGACACTCAGGAGAGTCAGGTCGGGATCTGTATTCGGAGCACGCCCTCGTCACGATCACGCGCACACGACACGACCCCCCGCGCGGCAGCCGCCAGCTGACCGCCCTCTCCGTGTCCCCGCTGCGGCGCGCAAGATGTACAAGGGCGGATCCACGGCAATGCTGGGAAGGGTCTGTGCGGGGACATCACACATTCTTTTTCGGAAAAACCTTGGTTGATGGGTGGAACAAACGCACTGTGGATTCCACCGCCAGAACGGTAACTGCGAAGGAGTGCTCAACACAAGACCAAACCAACATGACTATTGTGTAATGAGGCTGTGTCGTGAGGAGACAACTCAAGGTCCAACATTGACCCTTAGCGTTCTTGTGCCCAGTCAGCACTTATTATATGCTGTATGCCTGTCATATCTGCAGTTCGTGACACAATGTAAAGCTCGTTTTAACGCATTTACAGGATCAACATTCTGGCGTAGTGTGCGCTGCAAGCCTCCATCTCTGCCAGCTGGAGAGCCATTCTAACTACGTACACGCGATGGCCGATTGGTTGGCTGTTAGTAAGTGTCGTGAAGGTCATTAAGCATCACAAAGAATTTGACGATTAGCTGAGCCGTGTCAAACATACCCCTTCTATCCAGAGGGAGAAAGCAGCCGGTGGTGTATCGCAGCGGCTCGGCGACGCTCCGGTTGCCGGCCATGGCCGCCGCCTGGCGCAGACGCCGCGCAGCGGAGGCCGAGGCTGCTGAGGCCCGGTGGACACCGGTCGAACAGGGCGGAGAGAGGCGCCAGAGGCAGCCGCCGACGGCGGCCAGGTCGGCGGCCATACTGTGCAGCGCTGCGCCGTCCACGCCGCGCGTCGTCAGCAGGTACGGCACGACGGCCAGGCCGGAGCAGTCGCCCAGCATCGAGAAGAAGAGCCAGTCGGAGGCGAACGCGTGCAGCCGGTCAGCAGCCCGCTGGCACGCGCCGAAGTGGCGCAGGTGCCGCGCGAGGGCGGCGGGCTCGCCGCGCGCGAGACAGTGGCGCAGCGACGACTCGATGGCGGCGAAGCGGCGCTGGTGCTCGGTCACGGCCACATAGAAAAGGAAAGTAGGAAAAGTGTAGTGTCATTCGCAGGATCGCCATGAAGGAGAGGCTGACCAGTAGGTAGAGGACCTCGGCCGACGTGGAGTGGGGCATACGGCATGGTCGGCCGCTCGACAAACACAGCATGGCGTAGGTGACGCCCAGGACGTCCGCAGCGTACCAGACGAGGTAGACGACCAGGCGGCACCACTGGCCGGGCGCGCGCGGCAGTGGAACGCCTCGCTCAGTCGACGGTGGGCCAGCAGCATCTGCACCAGCTCGCGTCGCTTCGCGAACATGGTGAACACGCCGAACTGGCTGAGGCCGGTGCGCACCCGGAATGAGCACCGTCAGCCAGCTGGAGACCGCGGCAGCGGCGCGCGCGCCCGCCTGCTGGCCGGCCAGCCGCGTCCGCAGCGCGAGCACGGCCAGCGCGACGAGCAGCGCGGCCAGGTTTGTCCAGAAGCCGCGGCCGCGTGGCCGGACGGCCGGCAGCCGCCCAGCGCCGGCCAGCTCCAGCGGCAGGGCGCCGATCGCGCGCAGCAGCCGCGCGGCCGGCGCGATCTTGCGCCAGAGGTCGGGCTCGCGCGGCCGCGCGCTCAGCGCCCGCTGCTGCCGTCGCCGCCGCCGCTCGCGAACGCGACGCATCCCGGCCGCGGGGAGCGACGCCGGGCTGGAGCGGGCGGCGGCGTGCAGCGCTGACACCACGCTGGAGCCCGCTGCTGAGACGGCGACGCTTGACTGCTGCTCTGGCTGTGAACCGTTGAGAGAGACGCGGTGTCTATTGGTGAGGAGCGCTCAGGCATCACTTGAAAAGCTCGCTCTAGTATGATAGCGCTCTGACGCTGAATATTACGTGCCAAACTGAAAGGCTTCGTACAAGAATAACCGCTAGCACAGTGCTCATTCATGTCAATATTGGACACCCTCCAAAGGCCCAGCCGCCACCTCAAACAGCGGCCCGCTTTGCACCGTAAGTCGCGTAAACGACGATCCAGCGGGACTTAAAATAACGGTGAGTTTCGAAGCAGACCAGGTTATCCTAATTCGGAAGAAGCTCCACGAAACGCCGCGCAGAACAGTCTAAATCAACAGGTGAAGTTTGCAAGATCTCACTGTTATCGCACCGCCCCCGCAAACCGCACAACCGTTTGAGCTACTGGTAAAACGAAGGACGGATTACTGAGTCAGCCAAACCCAGTGGTCCTTCTTTTATCACCTTTGTCGTGTGCCTGACTTGCAGTTTGACGCCGCGGCGTCTCCTAGGTCGTTTGAGCATTGAATATCGACTGTGGTTTTGCATCAGCGTGTGTCCCAGGGTAATTGGCATGCCAGTTATTCGTTGGGTGTTGGAATGACATGTGATTACCTGCCCGACGGCTGCTGTCGGGGCCTCCGAGGATGGTCATCGGTAGCGTGATCGGAAACTATCAGCTGAGGTCTCGGACGACGGCTGCTGTCGGGGCCTCCGAGGATGGTCATCGGTAGCGTGATCGGAAACTATCAGCTGACGTCTCGGACGATGACGGCCTGAGCGTTTTGTCGCCGCGTGTGATATGCCAGCTCGCGATAGTCGCGAGGAAACACTCGTAATACCATAATCGATATCGGCCGCCGTTGTCAGCGCCCCGCGAGTCACGCAGGAGGGTGCGCCACGTCCCAGCTGACGCCGTAGCCGCAAAAGTTCGCCCCGCTGGCTGGCTGGGGGACGCCCACCTGAAGGAAGATCGCGCATTTTCCCGCCGAACCAATAACGGCATGACTGCCAGGATGCAGGGCTTGTTACAGTGCCGCCGCGTACCGAAAGGCTTATGTTTGGGGACGAGGGCTGGGGTCTGTTCGGCTGGCATGTGTCGAGGACGAGAGCGGGGCCTGTTCGGCTGGCATGTGTCGAGGGACGAGAGCGGGGCCTGTTCGGATGGTATGTGTGTGGTGACGACAGCGGGGCCTGTTCGGCTTGCATGTGTGTGGTGACGAGAGCGGGGCCTGTTCGGCTGGCACGTGTGTGGTGACGAGAGCGGGCCTGTTCGGCTGGCACGTACCGATGAATGAGAGCGGATTGATGGTCCCTGTGCAGCTCGCGATGCACTACACTCGTATTGCACTGAACAGGGGCAACTTCTGCGTTCATCCTAGGCTTTGCCTACCACCGGACCACGTTTGCCCCGGGTCATATTACTCAGCTCACCCACTGTCGCACAACTAAAAGGGAGGAGGCTCTCTTGTGGCTCCAAGATTACGGACCAGTATGGATAAAACATGTCCAGCCAAGCGCACTGTATGTACTGCGGGCTATGAGAGAGAAACGTCATGTGTAACTGAATTTTGACTATTTTTTTTTGTGAATCGCAGCACCGTTCACAGTGGAGTACTTTTGGAAATATATTTTCCTATCCATTACTGCTGCTAACTATGTACATGCATATATATATATATATATATATATATATATATATATATATATATATATATATAGGCATAGAGATAGATCAACGTGTGTGCATGTGCGTGTGCGTGTCCGTGTGCGTGCTTGCGCGTGTGCGCCTGCGTGCGTGCGTGCACGCGTGTGTCTGTGCGTGCGCGTGTTCGTGTATAACTATGCGCCAACTATATATCCAGTGAGATAGACCCAAAACTCTTACACTTCTCCGCTCCCCACCCCCCCCCCCCCCCCCCGCTCCCCCGAACACCACGAGACACGAGTCTAACCTGCGTTCTCCTTAAGCTAAGCGAGGCGAGCACGCTGGATGGTCGACGGTCGTGACGTCACACACGTCTGGCAAAACGCTGCCAATGATTCCCTACGCCACTCGCGTAGCCACAACGGGAAAACGCCCGTCGCTCTCTTTGTGTCGTTGTTGCTGCTTCGGCCTGTTCCAGCGCAGACATATCACGCATCAACAACGAGCAACAACGTGCGAATGCATATCGTTATTCACCTGGTCTGGCCTTGCCCAGCGAACAGTCCACATAAAGACACCACTCCCACACACTTGACCATAGCCGGATCCGTGTGTGCATCTCTTAACCAATAACACTAGCGCTAATTATGAATTCCGTAACCTGCGTTTCGCATCGCTCTGTGATTGGTTGGGTTTTGACCTCAAACGACTGCACACGTAGGGCAATGGTCGCTCACGTTTTTACAACTGGCTGTAGCTATCATTTACCAAACTGACATTCCGACCCGTTCGCGCGTCATGAATAACCCACCGTAGCTAACATGCCCATCTCCTATCTTCGGCATAACATAGCCGTCTCCCATGCTACCTTAGAACCATTGCGTACATTACGCAGCGTGTATAAATGTTCGTAACAAGTTCCACTCACAAATACGTGTACAACGCACACCAGTCCCAGAACATAATGGACACCACGCTCCAGAAGGCTGCACTTGAGAACCAGTCTGAGCAGTCTGCTGTCACATGCGTGACAGCTCTAGCGGCGTTAATGTCAGACGTCTCGCCGGACGACAGCAGGACAGCACCGCCGCCCCCAGCGGCACGTCGCTGCACCGCAGGACCCACAGCTCGCGTGCGGCGGTGAGACTCTGAGCACTGGCACCAGCGGGCAGCACCGGACGCGGGGCGGGTGGTCGGCGCGCGGCCGCTCCTGCCGCCGTGAACACAGCTGGTGCCCTCTCGGTTACCAGGCGCCGGGGCGGCCAGGCTCGCGTCCGCCGCCGGTCGGCGCGCGACACGCCCGGACCCGGCCGCTCCCCGACGTGACACCGCGGGCCATCGCGCGTTAGACGCTGCCTTCCCCTCCCCTCCCCTCCCCTCTCCCGACACTAGCGTCGCCTCACATCACGCTACACTCGGCGCCGGCGGCGGCGCCGAGGCCGGCCGGCAGGCGCGGGTTACCATCGCTGTCAAACTGGATGCCCAGATCCGACTCGCCGACCAGCTCCTTCGGCGGCTGCCCGAGCGCCTGCATCTGCTGCATCAGCTGGAACACGCGCTCCTGGCGAGCGCGCTCGGCCTCGGCGCCGGTCGCCTCCTCCTCGAACACGGCGCACACGTCCAACATGAGCTGGTGCTGGCGCTGGTAGCGCTGCCGCTCGGGCTCGGCCAGCGCTGGGCCGTGCTCGGCCAGCCAGGCGGGGTAGCGGTCCGACACGTCCTTCAGCGACGGGTACAGCACGTCCTTGGAGAGGATGCTGCTCATAACCGTCTGCATAAGCGGCATGAAAGCGTCCAGCGAGGCGGCATCCGGCGCAGCGCCGCTGCCACCGCCACCAAAAGTGCGCAGGAGTTCAGCCATGTCCGGCTCGCCGCCCATCTGCCAGAGGCGGACGCAGGGTCAGAGGAAGGAGGTCGAGCCAGACTCCCCTCCCCTCCATCCCCTCGAGGCAGACACGGCGTCAAGGCAAGGACATGCCACCCTCTGCCGGAGGCGGACAAAGGGTCAGAGCAAGGACACGCCCCGCCCCCGCCCCCCTCTGCCAGAGGCGGACATAGGGTCGAAGGGGAGGACATGCCCCCTCTGTCAGAGGGGGGCATAGGGTCTGCGAGGTATGTCCGGATCTCCCCCTCCCCACTATCTACCAGCAGCGGTTCGGAGACATCGGACGGTCCGAGGGGGGGGGGGGGGGGGGGCGTCGAGGAGAGCGACTGGCACGTGTAGGAGTGGTCCAAACTCGGGTCTTGTGAGTGCGGCAAAAGAAAAAACAACTTTCTTGAGGTCCAAGAAACACCCAAACTGGGGACGCGGTCAGAACACTTTTGCGACTCAGTGACAGCTGCACCGGTACCCTGCCTTCCCGCCACGGTGCCGGTACTCCGAGCGAGGCGGGTACCTTCTCAGCATCGGAGGTCATGGTCCTTGGACAGGTCGGCCAGCGTCTTGGCCAACGGGTCCTCGGCGCCCTCCACCTCCGTCTTAGCCATCTCCTCGGCCAGGTTGGCCATCATGGACGAGAAGGCGGCCTCGGCCTGGCCGCCCTCTGCTGGCGCGTCCTGTCAACAGGGCCAGCGCGGTACGTCATGCTCATGCTCGGCCAACGACCAAGTGGAAAAGTCGAGTACGTGAAGTGAGCGCGCGTGTGCCGCCAACGCTGACCACTTTATCTGATGATGTTACTGACTGAATAATGGCAATGATGACTAAATGTAGTACGCCTGGAGATCGATCAGGCGCCTCATCTACGGCCTGTTTTTACAGTTCACCAGCAAAATCACGTGGCAGACGTCTGGCCTCCCTGGACCGGTTCGCACCTTCAGCGCCTGCTTCATCGCCTCTTCGAAGGACTTGTAGGCGTCGCTGAAGTTGAGCTCCTCCGGCCCTGCCGAAGACGACGCCGCGCCCGACGCTGAAGCTGACGCCGAACCTGCAGCCGGAGCTGAAGCCGTAGCTGAAGTCGTAGCCGTAGCCGTAGCCGTAGCCGAAGCTGAAGCCGAAGCCGACGCCGGCAGTGGGCGGCCGAAGTCTGCCAGTGCGCTGTCCAGCAGTTCACTAAGCTCCGGGTCGTCTGGGTCATCCACCAGCTCGGCTGGGGCGCGCGGTGCGTCGTCCGAGCTCATGGCGTCAGCAGCAGTTACCCCGCCGGCCAGCAGGGTCGGCACACGGCAGGTAGAGCCGGCCTGCGCTCAGCTGGGCTCGCAAGGACACCTCCCTGAAAGGGTCCAGCAGGGTCAGCACACGGCAGGTACAGGCGGCCTGCGCTCAGCTGGGCTCGCAAGGACACCTCCCTGAAAGGGCCCAGCAGGGTCGGCACACGGCGGGTAGAGCCGGCCTGCACTCAGCTGGGCTCGCAAGGACACCTCCCTGAAAGGGCCCAGCAGGGTCGGCACACGGCGGGTAGAGCCGGCCTGCGCTCAGCTGGGCTCACAGGGACACCTCCCTGAAAGGGTCCAGCAGGGTCGGCACACGGTGGGTAGAGCCGGCCTGCGCACAGCTGGGCTCGCAAGGACACCTCCCTGAAAGGGTCCAGCAGGGTCGGCACATGGCGGGTAGAGCCGCCCTGCGCTCAGCTGGGCTCACAAGGACACCTCCCTGAAAGGGTCCAGCAGGGTCGGCACACGGCGGGTAGAGCCGGCCTGCGTTCAGTTGGGCTCACAGGGACACCTCCCTGAAAGGGTCCAGCAGGGTCGGCACACGGCAGGTAGAGCCAGCCTGCGCTCAGCTGGGCTCACAAGAACACCTCCCTGAAAGGGTCCAGCAGGGTCGGCACACGGCAGGTACAGCCGGCCTGCGCTCAGCTGGGCTCACAAGAACACCTCCCTGAAAGCGATGAAGATGTGGCAATGTAAACCTCGCTGCTTTAATGAATGTGGGGAACACATTCTGGTTACCTCTTCTCAGACTGAATTTTGGCATTTGATACTATTCTGTGAAAACATAAAGGATAAAACGTAGCATTGTCTTAAAATAATGTTCCTTATTCAAGTCATCATAGCAGCAACATTGTTGCAAACGAGTACTCATTTGAAGATGACCAGGACCAGGACTGGTAGATTAGAGGTTTGCAATGGGACATCCATTGTCACTGGAATCAATAAACATAAACCCTGAGACACTGCATGGAAACAGGCTTCTTATAAGCCAGCCTTGCCTTGCAGTCTTAAACATGCACTGTTGTCAATGGCACAAATCGTGCTATTGACACATATCACTCACAAGACGTTTGATAGAAAAAAATCTGAAATCTCAATCAAACCAAAATAGAACTTTGTATACCCTGCATTAGTTGCTTCCATTTTACATGTATCAGGGAGAAGATACCTTACCAGTAACTTTGAGCCTGCTGTAACAACGGTAACAGCCGGACATGTTCCCACAAATGGCCATCCCAGCCATAACAGAGCAATGTTTTCATGGGCCCACGGTGGCCAACGACAAAGGCTGCTCTTCAAGGCATCCGGACCATATAAATAGCATGTAGACCAATCAATGGTAAGGACAATTAGTACCAATGTGAAAGCTTCACCTTGAAAAGGCAAATGCTGTGCGTACACACCCTTAAAATTGGAGGGCGGGGGGGGGGGGTTACGCAGCGGGCTTATACACTCTCCAAAATGAAGGAAGACTATGCACGGTGCCCACACAATGATACACCCTCAAAAACCTCCAGATTGAACAAGCAACTGAAGTAATAAAAAGCTTGAGTTGGGAGTGAAGAGAGTTGGTAATATTGCTATAAATATGAGACGATCATCAAAGTGTCTCCATGTGCCCGAAGCCAATTTTCTACATCTCTGCATTGTAGAAAGTTTAGAGAGGGCAGTGGTCAGGTGGTCCTGGTCGCTGGACGCAGCTGGTCCTCACGCCCTGAGCCCGGGCTGTAATCCCGGCGGCGGTGGGATCCCTGAACGGTGGTACGGCCAACGCGGACGCCTTTATCCCGTGACGCTTGAACGGTGGCATCAGTGGTGGTGATGTCACACCTGTCTGAGAAGACAAAAGCTCAAGTTCTCGGTACTGGACAGTGGCGCAGTTTTCTATGTCCTAGAGGACCCCTCCCCCCCCCCCTTATTTGGGCTCCTCCAAGAAGAAAGTAGACCAAATTCGAGGAGAAACTTACTTGTTACCCTAGGCTTGGAGAAGGACTTTTATTTTCCGCTTTCTGCCCCTCCCCGAGCTCAGTTTGCGAAACCATGCCTTGATACCGGACTATCGCGGAGAGAAAGTGTCTGACTCTAGGCCTGAAGTGTCATTCAGGTGACCACGGAGAAACGTCAAATGAGAGCGCCGAAATCCGATATGGGGTCCCGAGGGGCTGGCTCGAGGTCACTGAGGGGGGCGCGGGTCGGACCCTCAAACACCAGTCAGAGAGCCCGCTGCCACCGATTGGGCTCCCCGAGACTATGAGGGCCTCTATGGCACTTAGACGCTACCAATTCTGAACAGTTGGCTCGGTGTCGGTCTGAGTCTGGGAGCCCATTTCCCAAGTAGGGACAAGGCCAGGAGCCGCGATTTACATTGGCCGGTGCGCCCCGAGTCAATGAGGAGCCCCTGTGTCGGCCAAGGGCCCACAGCGCCTAACAGCGGGTCCGTGTGTTGACAAGGGGTCCCGAGTCGGTGAGGGAGGGTGTTCGAGGCTGCCCGACGAGGGGCCGCTGTGCCCTTCAACACTGACGATCAACGGCCCGATGGGAAGACTGAAGGGCCGTAAGGGTCAAAAGGGTGCAGGTTATCCCGGCCCATGTGGCTGTGGCCCCAAATGTCAGTCAAAATCCCCCTTTCACCGATTGTGAGACCATGGGACAATACGAGCCCCTATCTCGGCCAGAGACCACTACATCGAATAGTCGACTTAGTGTTGTTCTGATCCCTGGGGCTCCTATTTCCCCAGCGGGAACGAGGCCAAGGTCCGCGATTGGCATTGGTTGGCGGCCCTCCAGCAATGAGGGGCCCTTTGACGGTCAGGCCCCCAAAGTGCCCAACAGGGGGTCCTGTGATGGAGGGAGCCCCGATTAGGCCAGGGGTGACCCGGGGTCCTTGCAGGGCCCCTCACCCCGTTTCAGCCAAGGGCCCGTTAACCAAGACTGGGTCTCCGTGGCAGTTGTTGGACGACCTGCGGTTATCAGGGATCTTTTAGCACCAATGACGGCTCTTGCACCTATCTGGGACGAAATATCCAGACCAGAGGGCCTTCAGCACCGGAGGACCCTCAGCACCGGGGTCGACGACGATGTATGATGCATCTCTGTAAGAGCCTCCGGATCGACCAGCCGAATCCGCCTCCACGTAGCCAGAATGGCAGCCACTGGACATCGCGCACTGAGACGGAATGGTCTTTATGCAATTGATCGGAATGACAGTGGGCACCCTACTTTTCACCGATTGTGAATCACGGTTAAGCATTCCCAGATGGAATAGGGCAGCCTATGTTTATGCAAGTTGCTGGGCTCTATAAGATTTACGGTCAACATTCACGGATCCTCAACACCTCTTCAGTATGGGCTCCCTTGCAGCATTAGAAACTATGCCTTCGTCCGACATCAAAGCCCAAGTAATGTTTGATTCCGTTCGAGTGAAGCAAGTGACATCATCATACCACGCCCATAGACCATAAAGCCCTCCACTAAAGAGTGGTCATCATCACGATTCTAACTCAGGTCTGCTGCATGCGATACTAGCACGCTAACCATCCAGCCACCCTGGATGCGGGACTGACGTTCGATGATTTTTAATCAGAGAAGAACTGTCTCAGAGTGGGTTGATGGATTTTGTGATCGTCTCATGCATATAACACAGTGAGCCAAGTTTTAGTACTGGATTCTGAATGTCGGCACTTGCTTCCCTCCGAGACTGCCAATCAGGTAAGCTCAGGTGCACAACCATCTGACAGATTTTTGAAAGTGTATATGCCCAGCATGAAGCCACCCTCCATTTTGGAGGGTGAATAAGTCATGTACATAACCACCCTGTTTTGGAGAGTACACACCTGCAGCCAAAAAAAAAAATGCTTACCTTGCTCTATCAAGATGGCCTAGATGCATCAGCATCATGCTGTCAGTGCTATGGACTTCTGTCTGCTGTTTTTATAATAATGTCACATATTGAGGGCATGATGACAACATGTCGCTGTTTCCAGTCGGGTCTACATCAGTATCTCACATTGTGATATCAATTTGTTCATCAATAACATCTTTAGGACATCAGACACTATAAATAATCATGAAACAAAATATCTTAGAGAGGTCTTATCATCTTACTTTCAAAATATAGTAATTCCGATAATGAAGGAAGACATCATTCAAATGTCTGTCTTCAGACTGATGACATGGGTGTTAATGGGATGATGTGCTGCAGGTGGTTGAGCGCACTATTTATGACATTTGCTGCCTTATGTAAGATGATTGCTGTACAGTGCTCTTTTGTAACATAACATACCTGTGTCTTATTTTGCTGTTTTCTGATTATTTGAAGCTTTTCCTACCTTGAAAGGTGACTGGCACATATAAAGTTCTTGTAAACCAACACACTAACCACCCCCCAAACTCCGGGTATTTTTCTTCCTCTTGCGCTCTCAGATACTGAAGAAATGTTGTGATCATGGTTCACTCAGCGTACCGTGCATGTTTGCCGTCTAGCCCAACGTAAATGCGCCGCCTCAAACACGCATAAAATGGGACGCTTGGAGCAAGGGACAAATGCAGCTTGCAAACACCATCCATATTTTTTAAGTGAATCCTTCATTGCCTTTCACACAACAAACATTTTTAGCCACGTACCTGCTTATAGCGCGCTTGCAACGTCACTCAGCTCTTAACCAAAGCTGGAAACCGGTATGCGAAAACGAGTTCTTGAGCGAGCTTGCAAGCTGCCTGAGATATGGATGGAATGTAACATACGCGTCATATTTGACCTGTTTTCAGAACAGGTTCAGCTGATATTTTCAGGACTTCAATAAAATCATTTTAAATTAGTTAATTTTCTTTTTTTTCCTCATTGGAAATTACTCGTTATCGAAGGATATTTGTAATCCTTATATTCACGCAAAAATAATGCTTTTTATTGTCACTTAGAACAGAGGTAAAATATAACTAAGCAAATTGATGGCTTGTTCTTGATGCAA